CGCAACGCATCATGGGAGATAATCCACTGTGCAGAACCGGGAAGACCAGACGATGCCCAAATCTAGACGAGTTCAGCGAATCTCCCGGTCTCCATGAAGTCCCATGCGCTACTGAGCACAAACCATTCATTTGAATCATCTTGGATCAACGGGGCTTGGGCTTCAGCCGCAGGTTGCCGACCCTGGTTTATACTGTATGTGGAAGCAAATACTGTAGACTAGAGGATCAGGATGTATACAGTTCACCAATAAAAAAAAAGTGCAATCGTCTACATTAAAGAGAGTAATGTCTCATGTCTCAGAGTGTGGGAGGTGGACACTTACCAACACTATTGTTTGTTACAGGGATGAGAATTGGTCGAAAAAGTCTGAAAATCATATTTTCAGCCATTGGCTGTCACTAAATCTGTTTAATTTGTTCACAACATTTTACTTTCGGGCACAAACATGAACTTTTAATGCAATGGAAAATGTAGGTACCCGAGCTTTAACTTAGGGAGTTTAGTCGCGCTTCGTGAGGAGAGGGGAGACGCGAACTGTTTCCTGCTGCAGTGTATTTATTTGGCCCACAGATTACGCAAAGACACGCATGGTCCTGTGAGCGTTTATGGCCTTGGGTGTATGGTCACGCTGCCGCTACGCGCTCACCGTGTTGTGAGCGGTTCCTGCGTCCAGCTCAGAGCCGCTGGATGCGAGAACCGCTCATTACAAAGCGGCCACTGAGGTGGCAAAATCCCGTTTGAGTACATAACATACAGCAGGTGCCCCGTGGACACGCACGCCCCCCTTGAACATTTTGTCAAAGGATTTACACTTTTCACAAAAATGTTTTTTGTATGAGGCAGACAGACCGGCCCATATATAGGCATCGGCCCTTCGGGCATTCCCTGGTACGCCCAATGGCCACTCCAGCCCTGTGTGTGTATGTGTATGCATATGTGTATGTATGTATATGAAGATATTCGGATTGAAATACATGGTTTTCGGATTGAGATACGTGGCAGGGTTTATGTGGATGTGTGTGTGTGTATGTGTGTGTTGTGTGTGTATGATGTACTATATATATATAGTTAACAATTCATGTTTTAGTTAGGCTTGTTAAATTTTGTTTCTTTTTATTGTTTTGTTTTGTATTGCTGATGTAAGCCATCTTATTTGTTATTTGTTATTTTCTTCTATGATAAAGGACCCTCTTGAAAAAGCGATAGTTCACCTTTCAATATTCAGTGCAAGGCCAATATGAGGAATCACATTTCTTAACGATAAGACAGGGTGACGCCCAGTTGGAAGAACAAGGCTCAGCAAAACCTAAAACATATAATCTACCTCTGTGTCCAACTGCAGGCTCTTCTCCTCAGACTCTCTATAAAACGTTTGCTTTATGGGCTTAGCATTTCCAACGGAAATCAATAAACATTTTTGGAGGAGACTTAACATGTCGCTCAACCAATAGCATACACCCTGTATGTGTCGCATCAGTTGCATCTTTCATGCTGTAGCTGTATGTATGACTACACTGTCCTCATCAAATAAATAAATACATAAAATTAAGATAGTGGTCACCTGAACAGGCACCAATTTATTGAATTGCTTCAACACCATCAAACTGAACAAATCCTGGAATGTAACCACTTCCAATGCAGAACACCACCTTGTAAAGGCAAAAGAGAAACAACGAGCAAACTCTGAATATGTTTGAGAATCCTACTTTTTCCTTTAACGAAAACGCTGACATTATGCCTCATAAACCTTCAAACCTTCATAACTGTAGTACACACCTGACTATCAGCTACACTCAGTGATGAAAACACCTCAAGTGCTTTACCTGCGAGGGCATATTGCTACAAAGTAGTCTTGTCCAAATCCGACCATGCTCTTGTGTTAGCAATACGTTCAAACAGACTAAAACATGTCAACTTAGAGTACTTCTCTAAGTTATCTTATTTGCCCCAACCAGAAGATCATCGGCGTCTAACGACTTTTGAGCCCCTGAACGACTTTTGAGCCCCTGAGCACTCCGAGGCTCTTCTTCTGATCAGACTAATATATGTGTCAGGATCCGAATCATCAAACTTAGGCAACAAGCAAAGATTCTGAGCAAAACTGTGGTCAAACTGTGATCCTCTTACCACAGGCCTGTTCACTCTCTTCAGCCTTTCTAAGTCCAACTCCCTCTGCTGCTCGAAAGTTAACATACTCTGAAAACATCGGCTATATTGTGGCCCTGTTTTAACACAGTCTTAACAGTTTATATAAGCTTTTTGTCCACAGATCCAATTTTGTAATGCTATTCTATCTCAAGCAACTGCTCCTTGGTGCACAAATAAAGCCAACTCTGAAGGAGACTGAATAAAATCATACACAATGGAAGAGATTTTAATCAACTATTTCCACTAGATACAGATTATAACTCAACTACTGAGTTATCGCTTCAGTTATGGAAATCATGGAATAATATCTAATTACTGAACTTTTTATAGAGCTTTGGGTGAACTTGGTTTGTAATTTGCGCTGTATAAATGACTTACTTACTGCCAGAATCAAAGTCACTGCTCCTCTCCACACGATTACCCAAACCAATCAATCCCTCAACAGTAGTTTGACAAACTCAATACATAGTGAAAGTACAACCAAATTAACCAATAACTAATCCAACATTGTATAAATGACAAACAAGGGCATACCAAACAAAGGAATCCAATACCTGGAGGGAGCAGAGCAGAGAGTTAGTCACAGACACATATTTAGTTAGTCACAGACACATATTTATACCCAGTGAAGCCCAATCACTGGGTCCCTGCTGGGGAACGCCTCTGTCAGGCAGGGAGGTGGCGTGACAATTTTCTAATAGACCTCAATGGTAACTAAAACGGCCCTTTCTCAAAAGTTGGGTTGTGTGGGGATGTCCCTTGTCATCTTTAACTTTTTTGAAATCCACAGTTTTTCAATAAATCCACAGTTTGGCTCACTCTCGTCCCTGAGCTCTGCCTGAATCATTTACTGATAACCAATGCTCAATGTATTGTGTATAATGTCTTTAAATGATGAAACTGTACGCTTACGGTCCCTTTGCAAACACATAAGATTTGATCAACTTCAAAATTGCTTGAATAATGTTCAGGGCGAAAACACTGAGGAAGTACTGTAAGTGGAGGAGAGAGACTGGTTCCCTCAGAAAGAATGATAGGGGTGTCTGGTCGGAGAGTGTTTGGGCCTGTTGGTGTCTGTTTTGTGTATTATTTTATGAGTGAGAATGGTTCCAGTCCAACCAGCGTCTAATTCATCCAACCCCTTCTCTGTAAAGTAAGTAATCTTCATTTATTTTGCGCCTTTCACAGACCAGAGTCACAAAGCGCTTTACATTTGTTGTGGGCAATTGTCTCTCACTCCACAGAAAGATTTATTGTTTTGTTTATATTTAATTAAAATAGTTTTTTTATTTCTTAATTAATAATAATATTAATAATACATCTTTATTTGTATAAATAAACAGTGTTTGCAAAGTGCTGCAGAGTCAGCATTACGCAGTAAAAACAATCAATAAAACAGTCAATAAAAACAGCAGAATAAAGCAGACAGACAATGAGAAAGACAAAACCGATAAAAGTGGGTTTAAGAAGTGATTTAAAAGAGGTTACTGATGGTGCTAGTCTTATTAATCATTTTCTGTATATAAGAAATAAATGTATTAGAATAGATTTTGACAAAAGTCTGTTGCTCTGAAATCAACCCTGACTCCTGTATATACAGAGATACCATTTCACAATTATGGCCTCAGCTGTTTCGAAGGCAGGCTCCAGGCGTGTACTCTTGGAGTAGAAGTATTTACTGGAACGGATCTGTTGTTGCCTCATAAATAAGTGATGAATGTTTATAATCAGGGCTTTTCCGGTTTGGAGCAGACAGAGAGAGAGATACGGCTCTCAAAACACCCTTTCTGAGAGTGAGCAGCCCTGACCAATCCCACCAGATGCTATATCTGTCAATAACAACATTCATTTCTTTTGTCCTAAGTTTGCGTGCAGTAGATTGATGTGGCACAGCTGATAATATAAGCGTGTGCATAGTTCATGTGTTGCGTAGAAAATATGGAACTCAACATTGTTTAAGCAGTAACAGGGAAATTACAGTAAGATGCAGACTAGAGATTGCTTACTTTCTCGGGACAACTGGTTCAGAATGGAAGAGCTGCAGATGCAAAACAAACTTGTTTTAATTGCTATAAGGAACATTACTCATCTGCTAAAATACTAATTACATGCTTTGGTTCAGCAGATTCTTGGAGTGAATACTTTTGCATTCGGTCCAGACTTGAATAAATCCAAGTATTTAATGTCAAATGTCGGAATCTATTACAAATCAAATCCAAACTCACATATGAACAATTTGAAGGCTAGAAACGCTGTCAAAATTCATCATAGGGTTCCATAGAAATGTAACAAAATGAAAAATGCTAAGAAATATCAGATATTCATAACTGTCTGAGTAGCAAACAGCCGATAATTTCAAAGCACTGTTGGTGACCTTATGGCTGAGTACTGTAAACTTGAATGATAGCTTGTCAAGATGAAACTTAAGGACAGGGTGTATTTCAAGCTCAACATCAGTCTGGAATTATAGAAGGATGCACTCGGTTATAAAGTAAATCAGAATGCTGCTGCTTATCCCCACAAACTCATCTAAAAAAAGCTTTTGTAATGCATTTGCCAAGACTAATAGTTTTCAGGCCTGCATATTTCCTCCAAAAGGCATTGTTAATAAAAGCAACAAAAGATAGTTAATAACACATGTGGAATTGATATAATATAATGTTATAATGATCGTAGGCCAAGGTAAGCTGAATATAATACGTCTAAAGATTTAATTTTGTGTCTGTGTTTGTGGATAAACTGTCTGCGACCCTGGTACTCGGCCCTGACGGCTGTAGCTGTGTGGGGCAGTGTGTGATCACCTGTAATTACAACTAAAACATTCATTAAGAAAGAAAATTGTGGGATTTCTTACTTCAGGGTGGTCATGATAGCAAAGCTGGAATCAAGCTGAACATTAAAAACATGAAAGGATTGTTTTCTTCTTTTAGATTGTTCATAGGAAGGAAGCCGCACAAACCTGACTCAAACTGGCTTGTTTAAATATTCCCTTTGATCATGAGTAATATTTATTTAGCTGGATACCACTGGATTAGTCTAGCTTTAGCCATCCGTAAACTCTGGTCAACTATAATTTCCCTTAGTACGAAATTAAACTAGTACGATGGTATGGTATGAGACCAGAATACTACTGGATGCCTTCATTGTTTTTCTGGACACTATACAGTATAATCATTCACATCTATGGTCACAGTTGCTCTGGGGCCCCTCCAACCACCACAAGTCTGCATGATCCAGAAGCATCCGCACGCATGATCCGGTGATACAACAACAGTTTGGCACTTTACAGCTCCCACCTGTGGCACCTGCATCAGTTCCCAGAGGTCTCCCATCACAGTAACTACCAGGCCCTGCCCTGCTTAGTCTCTGAGATGTCAGGGGATCACATGCATAGCCACTGAATTCTGTAGATGTCAGAGTTCAATGGTTCCTTTCAGTGGGTGTAAAGGGGAATTTGTGTTTTCAGGTTACATAAATACTGATATATGATTGTGTTGATTGATATCAGTTTATTATTTCATACATTCATTCACAGAATAAATTATTTAGATTTAGAATTGACATCTAAGTCTCCAATCATTACCTGTGTAATTTCTGTTCAGTGATGATATAGTGTGGTCCTTGCCAACTAGTTTCTCACTCATTTCTTCACCACATGTCTTTCCTGTCAAACTAAACGCAGGAAGTTGGTGATTCGAAAGATATCAATGTGCAATTTCCTGTTTTTATTTATGGTATTTGAGACACTAAATCAACAGTCGAGGCAACTAGCTGTAAGACATGTGTGGATTTTGAGAGTGGCGGACATTTTTGTCAGATTTTGTGTTTGTTTTTGAATATTCAAGTTAAAAAAAATACACTAAGGGTATAATTTCAATTATAAAGGTATAATTTGCTTTTTTTTTTAACCAGAAAGACGGCCATGTTGAATATTTCTCAACAACTTTAGTGTTAACATCTAATCAAAGTTGTTGGTTGTTCTTTAAAAGTTTTGACCAACCAGTGTGCTTCTAACGGCTGACTGTGATAACAAGTGCTGGACCACACACGCTCACCGCACATCTGCTGAATCTACCAGAACAAACCTGCTGCTTCCTCAGTGACATCAGCCTGATATGGTGCATATGGCAAACTGCTTACTGCTGTATCTCCACAAACAACACACATGTTTCCACACAACTGTTGTTGACTTCAGGGACAATATCTCATGCAGACAAGTTGAATTCTTTATTAATATAAGCTTTTAAATGTGTGTTCACTCATAAATCACTTGTGAAAAGTTTTATTTTTCAATACCACACACAGCTTTTATAAAATAGCATTTTGTATTCACATACAGTACATGGTCTGTTTTCTGATACAAGTGAGAGACTTCTCAGTAACTGGAAGTGAACAGAAACTAACTTGTAAAAGTATACTGTGGCATAAGAGGAAGTGATTTACAAGAAAATCTAAAACTAAATGTATTTGCCCAGAAAAAACAAATACACATGAACATGAATGTGGCATATTGTCCTGGTGTGATTGCCCAATAATAACATTGTAATAGATTACATATCGTTAGTCATGGTCTGGTCCTCATTATTGCCACCAATTTTATCTTGATTATTTCCACATATTCTGAATGCGAATGCATAGAGAATTGGGTTCAGGCAACTATTAATAAATGTTACAGATGCAAATATGTTGTAGCTAGATTGAAAAAACTCATGTATACCTCGGGTACTTTGTAGAATGGCTATTCCAACCACAAGATCAAAGATAAAGTATGGCATCCACAGGACAAAAAATGTCACTATGATTCCTGTGATTAGTTTGAACGTCCAAGAACTCTGGAAATACACAGCCTCAGTCAACTTTCTGTTTAGACAAATGTATGTAGCGGCTGTAATGAAGAATGAAGTAAAACCCACAAAGCTTTCAGACATCAACACGGCCACTTGTTGAGCTGTAGAGGTGTAACAGGGAAAGCACTTCTGGTCATTGTCAATTTGTCGAATCACTAAAGCTGGAATGGAGAGCACCATTGACATGCACCACATCAGGACCAGGAGTCTCTTCTTGAACTGGAGGCTTCTCTGCTTGTGTAGGACCTGCATGTAGCGCTGGACACTCAGAGCAGTGACGGTCAGGAGGCTGCTGTTTAGGCTGCAGTGCACTAAAAAGGACATCATTTTACAGGTGACGAGGCCCAGGGTCCAGCTGTACAGAAGAGTGTAGATCCAAACAGGCAGAGTGACCAAGCACAGCAGGTCGGACAAGGCCAGGTTCACTATCAGACTCTGGGTCAGTGTGGACAGCTGCTGCCAGTTTGGTTTGAGGATTAGAACAGCTACATTTCCAGGGATTCCCACCAGGAAACACACAGACAGCATCACTGTGGGAACCACTGTCTGGGAGACCCAAGAGCCTGAAGCTGCTGGGCCTGAAGATGAGGAGTTAGTGAAGTTGGCAGAGGTGCAGTTCAGCTGGTCCATGTCTGTGCAGACAAGTCTAAAGGTAAAATAAGGCTTGTCATTTCTGAATCTCATAACACGGAACAGCACATGTTTTGAAAACCACAATGTGGTCTATCAGTTAGGCTTTTGTTTCCTCAACAAATTTGGTTTACTGACGCTTTACCTCACAATAAAAACAGTCATAATGGAAAATTGCATGTATTCCCTATAATGACGCCACCTGCATGTGAAACCCTCTTAAAGCAGTTGATGACATGAATATTTTGCCACTCTAAGTATGTGCTTTGTCTGTTGAAAGAGTAAAGATGGCTACAGAGGTTTTAGTTGTGACACAGACATAATTAGGATAATACCATTTCAACCTGGAGAGACTACACCAGGGGTGCTCAATACGTCGATCGCGATCTACCAGTCGATCGCAAAGGTAGTATTGGAAGATCGCATTACATATATATATATATTTTTTAATCCGTTTATGCATTTGCGTGTGGACAGAGATAACCGGAGTTTTGCGTTTTTGCACGGCACAGTTTGCCCCCAAAACAACAACAACAACAAACAAAACGTGCGACCTCTGATCACTAAAGCATGGATCATACTGCCTTAACAGCGGTTCACAGCAGCGATCCTCGCTCCACATCAGAGAGCAGCAAAGTGATCACACACGCTCGAAAACAACCAAAACAGGAGCTAAACCAGGATCAAACCAGGGCTGAGGACTGGGGTCAATGCTTGTAAACATATGTCTTCACCATGGATCTATAATAACACGTCTTCACCCTGAGTTTCTACTATGACAGTGCCGCTACAGAACGAAAGTTACGAACGTAACTTTGGTTCTATGAATCCTGGATGACCGCCAGAGGCGGTGCTTAAATGCAAATTATTTCATAAATCATGCGGTTTTGCATGTACATCAACATACATTGTAGATATAAAGAATCCTCAATATATTTAGAAATATATATATGTTTTGCATTTTTATAGTAGGTAGATCATTTTGACTTGATCATTTTATAAGTAGCTCGCATGCTGAAAAAGTGGGAGCACCCCTGGACTACACAGACACTTCATTGAATAAGTTTATTCATAGTTTGTTTGGCACCCTAGGTGCTGGCAGCGGCACTTTGTCTATGACGATCATTCCTTGTGTGCCGCTCATAATACCCCGGGACCTTAAAGCTGCACTAACTGACTTTGGGATTTTGAAGCCGTGGACTCGCTGGCCTCTCTCTTTCTGCTCCCCTCCCCGCACCCACGAAGCTATCGCCCCCCACACACACCCACTGTTGGGACGGAGCTAGCGTATCCCAATATGGATAATACACGAATATGGATTTGCACGTGGATGGCGTGACCATAGAACGATAGAACCGGGAAGCGCGGAGGAACGGGACTTTCTTTTGGATGGCTGTGTCGCTGTGTAAGCAGTAACCGATGACGAAGACACACGAAGTTTCAGGTTAGCTCCTCGGCTTGTTGTGCTAACTCAGCCGTCTATGCTAACGGACCTGTAGATTTCTCACGAAAGTGGGGGCTAGTGGTGCGCTGCTATTGGTCACAATCCGCGACCCGAAACACATTCTCTTCCTTGTTTCATCAAAACTTGATCTAAAATATAATGTCATGCCAGCACAAATCTGCGCTACTTTTTCTTCAAAATGATGTATATCCCAATGCACTACATGGACATGGATAGCATTTTCGTAATGAATACAAAAATAAAGTCAGTTAGTGCAGCTTTAAGTGGTGGCATGAGGTCTAGGAACTGCAGGAAGCATAGGGTGAAGTTGTGATGTGAGGCGGCGGGGACGTTGTGGTTGCAAAGTGTGAGTAGACGAAAGTGACTCCTCTAGAACAACTCATTGCGAGGCTTGGGAAAAGGGGTTGCATGTTGGGAAGTTTCCTCTTTTAACCAGCTGGCTTAATGGCCGTAGGTTGGCAGCGACGCGTGATTGGTCGAGGGGGAAGGCTTTGAATGGCTGCAGCAGAAAGCCTACCAAATTGAAATTCCACAGAATGCATTTTCTGTCTCACAGTTGCAGAAACCACAGGACATAGCTACAATTCAACAAATACATGTCCCACCTCCCTGTCCTTTATTGCTTTTACTCCGTAATTGTCAGATATGGGCCACGTGGAGGGCTGTAGTCTGCCTAAAAATCATAAGCAGTAATAGCGAATCCATTACATAGGATTAACAAAGTTTAAGTGAAGCAAAACAAACACACTTTTAAAAAGACACAAATAGCAGTTCAAAAAGATTTTTCATTTGTGTTGTATACGGTGGAATATCTACCACCTACCAGTAAATATGCATTTTATTACATTCTAATTCCACAAAGAATAATTCATTCTTGGTGGAATAAGAATGTATTAAAATACAAATACTGTATTTCCTAGTACAGGTACTTTTGTTGCAATTTCTGACTTTATATGTTTACATTTATTATATTTACATTTCATTAATAATATTTTATTAATATTGCATGGCAATATATAGATACATCCGCAGCGCCGCTTCCCTCTAACCTGCGGTTAGAGGTCAAACCAGGTCCTTCCCCCGCCCCTTCCCCCACTGCTCTGTGTGACTGTGGCCTGTGGTGTGCGTCTGGCGTCTCAGTGTATATTGGCTTACAGCGCTGATTTTGCCTCTCTTTATTATTTACTTTGAATCTCTGATCCAGGCAAACTACTCAGGCTGACATCATTCCACTTCTAAATTGACTCTCTACCTTCAATGGTCAGGCTTTTGTTTTTGCGTTGGATTACTGCAACGGGTCTTCGACCGACCGCAATCACCTTCTGATGGCGAGCTATTGTTCTACCTGAGCGGTAGGATCTGGAACATTTTCCACAGTATCAGTACCGTACAGTACAGTACGCTTCAGCACGGTTATTTTGCGTTTCCACTAGTGGATGGAATGGGAGATTTGCGTACTTCTCCGTACTGCCTCAGCCGTGGTTCCATCCCCATAGTACCCGTGCCATGACGTCACGTCGGCCCACTGCCTTACACTGATTGGTCAACGAGTGTCGTCACTGGAAGCGACATCTGACCCTTTGGGAAAAACAACTCAACCGCCATCTTTAAAACCGGCTGCTCTGCTCTGCTCGGCTCTGCTTCGGCTACATTACGTCCTCCTCACTCCAGAGAAATGGAATTGCACAGAAAGCCCCAAAAGTCCTGGTCTTGGTCGGTGGAAGAGGTCCACACGTTCCTCTCTTCAGGCCTAAAGAAAGAATTCAAAGGCAGCTCGAGGTTCAACACAGTTTTCAGGAGATCACCCAGATCTGGATTTGTGACTAGTCTTTGGTAATCCTGGAAATAACTGGCTAGCTACGAATCCCGTTAAAGCTCTCGCTGAAATGTATTTACTGTGTAAATGCTCGATTGTCTGTTGTACACAGTGAGCTAGCTACATTTAGCTTCATTTAGCTATCGATAGCAGCTAAGCTAACGTCCTCCCTGTGCTACTGTGCTTTATCTCGTATAATCTGCAGTATCCACGTGTTGTCATTCTGTTTTATGCTTGTATTTAAGTTGCTGTGTGTATATTTGTATGATAAGTGTGGAAATTACCAACGAGTAATGAGTGCAAGGAGTATTCTCATCTGGACCTGACCTGGACCTGGTCTGGACCTGGTCTCAGACATACGTACTTTTGACTTTGTAAACTGTTGGTTTTGCACTTTACTTTTGTTTTCAATAAATCTGTGATTGTATCCCAAGACTGTGTTTCATTCATTTATTATTATTGTAGCTGAGGTTTGAGTATCGATTGTTTGTCTGGTCTCGGAGTCTGCTGTAGTCCGGACTAGCCTAGCCTAGCTTAGCCTAGCCTAGCCGCTAACTCGCTACCCCTATGGTTGCCGCCGTCTCTGAGTAGCCCCTGACTGCAGTCCGCAGATCGGGGCGGAGCTCAACGTGGGCGGAGTCAAACGTTTGACTCCGCCCACGTTGAGCTCCGCCGAGCGGGAGCTAGGCATTGAGGACTGTGCGTATGACAGAGAAGGAGAAGAAGCAGAGGAGAAGAAGAGCGAAGTAGCTGGCAGAATGGAGGTACTGTAGGCCAGTTTTTTCATTCTGTTTTAACGTGCAACTTTGCTATATTTGTTACCGACAAGGAAGGTGGTAACATTATTTTTATTTTAAAATAAGTTATACTTGTATGTATCTGCATTCTGCACGGTTGGACTTCTAATCTAGTATACCTAGCATTACTGTTGCAGCGAAAATTATATAAACCTGGACTTAAAAACGACTTTTCTGGGTTTTAGATTCATATTTATCCGGCACGACGTACTGGGAAAATATTATACCTTTGGGGAGAAAATGTTATGTGATCGTTATTACTTTTGGGGGGGAAATATTATACTTTTCGCGGGGGAAAATACGTTACTTTTTTAATCGTTGTTACATGTTGAATATAGAATAATGTAAGAATATAAAGCCAATATGCTAATATGTGATTTAAGTATATTTGAAATGGTACCATTCATAAGCATTTGACAATCTGACACTTACATCTGAGTAATCTGCAGGAAATTGATATTGCTCTTCCTTGCATGTTAACATCCATGACATGACATTTGTTTTTTAAATGAAAAATTATTTCATATATTTTGTCTCGTGTGTTTCTAATTGCTGTGCCTTTTATGTCTATTGTTTTCCCCTCTAATATAGAGACACATCAGCATACTGATCAATGGTGAAATATCGCTTTCAAAATGCACTGATGAGGGTTTGTTCAAAGTGTTTATGCATTTGAATCAAAAGTTGATTTTAGTTCAGTTACTTTTAGTTACTTCTGCTTACTCTTTGCACAGACACATTGCTCACAGCCTGTCTCCTGGCCCCTGGAGGGAGCTTGGCGTGAATGATGTTCAGGTGAGACGTTACTTCATAGTATTTGCTAACATTTACTATTTTCTTGCCATTCTTTTATTAAAAGACCTTGTTCACACCTCAGGGCCTAACAAAGCAAGGGTGCTCCAACAACTGTGGCGTGTTTGTT